CCCATCAAATTGGATCATGACAAAAATTCATCAAAGTTTAAAAAATAAAATATTTAAACTAGATAATATACAAAAATATAACATTTCTAGTATTAGGCTTCAAGAACTATTTTAGCTATCTGATCAAGAATTTTGTCAAATTGTTTAGGACATAGCGTTACCAGCCTAAGAAGAACAAGTTACAATGAGCAAGACTAACCTCATCAGTGTAAACAGTGTGAATCAGCAAACTAAAAGCCATGAAGTGCCCAAAGAGGACGAAGGCCTTCAATTTAATTCCTCTTCAACAAAAGGCCACTATAAAAATATGATTCTATTGAAATAACGTATGAGATGTGAATTCAGTAATTGTGATCACTAAGTAAAAAAGTGTGGAGCAATGTGAAAACGGAACTTTAAAAGTAATTGACAGAGCAATTACAACATTTCTCTTTCTCAGACACATCATAGAAGCTCCAGCTAACTGCAATGTAAAATAAATACTTTTCATATGACAAGGAATATTCCATGTGTCTAATTACATTCACAAAACATTACATTGGACACCAGTACAATAGATGACTGATTTGAGAGAAAAACAGAAAAAAAACTAGATGACTGATGTTTCCTAACAATTAGTCCAAGTACTGGAAGCAGAAATCTATAGTTTTATTTGAATAGGGCATACTATCTGTCATGTCAGAGAAATCTTAGAGATTCTGAGTACCAACGCATGTAGCAAGATTCCAGATTAGGCCAGTCAGAGTCAGGGCATTCAGTGAAGTGATGAAGCCAGAGTGATAGTACCTCCTCTTGCTGGTCCCAACTAAGCTTCTCAATCATCTCTTCGAGCATGCTCACCATCTCTGCTCTCACCCTACTGCTTAGTATGGGAGTATCTACACCATTGCAGGCTTGACAAATCAATGGCAACCATGACTTAAGCATTGCCATTTGAAAGATTGCCAAGTGTGATTCTTCCTCTTCCCTAACCTTCACTTCATCAAAGTTCTTAGAGTTAGCGTGCTTGAACATGAATGCTGCAGTAAAAGGTATTGTTTAGCAAAAAGTCCAGCATATTTACATCAATAATTTGTTGTATTGTGCCTATTGTTGAACAAGAAAAATGAATTGATGAATAATCATATTATTTTTTCAAATAGCTCTGAAGAATTCTTCAGTTCTACCATATTGCCCAACTTATATGGTTGAAGAAAGTTGATTATGACAATGACACATCTAAGCTTTTCTAATTTCCTACTAGTGGATGTCAATGTACATATTGTTTGTACTGTCCAGAAAAGAAACTGAAAGAATGCAAGGAATTGACTGGGGTGTGAATAAAGAAACTGAATTTTTCTTGAGGCACTCTGTCAAATAAGAAGTTTGCCATCTCATAAAGGATTAGACCATTCCATTGTTGCTTTGGAAACAAAGTAAAGATGCATGTGAGTTCTTTTGCAGAACTTCTAATAAGATGGTTCACGGAACAATCTTCTTCCTACGTTAGACATTGGTGTTCATTAAAATTTCAGAGTAGCCTCTTCTTGTTTGAATTTTCTTATATGGTTTTTCCTATTAAAGTGACTATTGCAATTGCTGCAATAGTGATCTGATTACTGAAAAAGCCCAAGACAAAGCGTCTAATAAACGAGGGGTTATGGTAGATCTTAGCATGCCTTAAGTAATGACTCTGTTATCTAGATCAGCATAAGCCAGAATAAGAACTATGTTCAAGAGATTTAATAATTATGAATCCTCAGTTCAAAAACATATTGATAAGTAGTGATCCAAAAGAAAAGGAAGGCTATTTCAGGTGGGAAAAAAATGCAATGTCACTAGAAGTTTGTCGAAGAGACATTGCAAAGAAAACAGAGAAAGCAGCAGACAGAAGCAGGCCGGCTTAGGCCGGCTAAGACCGGTTCAGACTGTTTCGACCGAACCAGGCCGAAGTGGAAATAATGGAGGGCAGAAAGATACAGAAAAAGGGCGTCCTCACCGCAGACCCGGACGAGGGCCACCTGCAGGCGCGGCACGGCGGAGACAGCGAGCTGTGCGAGCCCGGCCGCCTCTCCCCACATCGCCACCGCATCCGCCACCGCCCCGCTCTCCGCCATCTTTTGCCCCAGCCACATCACCTCCGCCGCGAGTTTGTCCGCCGATACTCCTACCCCTACCACCATTCCCGGCGCCACCGCTGCCCCCTCCGCCCATCTCCTCAACCTAGACTTCACCGCGCCCATGATTCGCCCGCCCGACCAATCCCCAGGCGCCAGCGACGCTTCCGCAGCCACGGCCGCCTCGAGACGGCGGAGAGTCCTAGCGAACGCAGCGGACAGGGCCGCGCGGTTGATGACCTGGAACGCCCGGCCCTCGCCGCTGGCGTAGCGGAGGTTGTCGCCGAGGAGGCGCTCCGCGAGGGAGCGGACGAGGTCGTACTTGCGGGAGGCGACGGGGACTCGCGACACGGCGGAGAGCACGCGCGAGAGGGCGCGCCCCGCGCTGGTGCCATCAGTCGGGGAGAGCGGGTCCGGGGCGGAGGCGCGGGGAGGAGGACGGCGGGGAGGAGATGACAGGTGGGAGAGGACAAGGGAGAAGAGCGAGAGGAGGGAGAGAAACAAGTGGAGGGAGAGCATGAGCGAGCGGCGTAGGAGGCGGAGGGGCCGCCCGTCGCCGCCGGCGGAGACGAGGGCATCAGCGATGGAGTGGAGGAGCTCGGAGTCTGGGAGGGAGGAGACGGCGGCGGCTAGGGTTTCCATGAAGCCTCCGTCCTGTCTTCGCATGCAGTCACCGCCATCCGCCATAAAAGAAGCAGAGCGCATCGCTGGTGACAACGTAACGGACCGGAAACGGAATGCTCGCGGGAATTTGTTCTCTCTTATTTTTTAGACAACGTAACAAAGGCGTTTTTCTTTATAAAGTATATTTTTATTTTATTTTTTCTCAAAAAATATCCTTAATTAAATTATCTATTTTTTTATATTTTGACCTCTTATAATATTTTTATTTTGACCACCATAATAACAACAACAAGTACATTCCTAATCTCAACTAAATAAATTTTAAATCTAAAAATATAATATTATAATTATCTAAAAGCAATAACAACCCCATAGATATTTTATAATGGTATTTAGAAAATCCTCGACTGATAAAGAAAAGAGAAGTTTAGATGAGGTCTAAAAGAATTGAGTGATTTGAAACTAATTCAATGGTTCGTTAACTTAGATGCCCTTCTAATTCTTCAAATAAGTGAACTCATTTATCCTAAACTTATTCAGTTGTGTTACAATAACTTATATGTGGATAAACATGATAGGATGTCCACTTATCTCTTATGGTATCACATACTTATTATAGATAACGTAATTTACAACCTAATAGGAATTCATGAGAAAAGAAGTTATTTTAGAGGATAACATATTGAGGTTATAGGATCCAATTTTAGTAACATAAATTCGTCTATTGTTCCAAAAGTTATAAACATTTGCTACCTTTCAATACAAAATTGCTTCATCACATCATGATAAGTATTATACTTCCAAAATAATACCATAATGATGAAATTAGTCAAATAGAATTAGAAGCAATGTATTGGATCATGGTATGACTTGATAACTGTTTTGGATATCGAATATGATAAAACATGATTGAAATATCAATAAAAGATATGATGCTTACATATGGTGGCTTGATTACTAGACTAATACATACATATGATATAGTCATTCCACCATACGAGAAACCTTGAAACTAGATAGATTTAATATTATAAATAGAAACCTATTAAGAATAATAAGATATATATAGTAACAAATAGGGTTTGGACTAGCTTACCTCTAAGGACTGATCCTCCCCCATATGAACCTGAACCAGAAACACCTATATATAGGAAAAGTCAATCTCTTCCTACTAGTCCCTTTGAGGTAGCACCTCCAACAGAGCCAGCACCCTCCTCATCTGCCAATGCCATAGTGACTCGACTAGATTGAATTGAACTACGTCAAGATTAAATCTTAACCGAGATACAACAAATTCATTGATAGCTTAATACTTTGTTTAGGCATTTCGATTTACCATCACCTGAATAGCTTGTGTATGTCTTTTTTTTATTGATGACAAAGGGGGAGAAGTCAATGGATTCTTCCATATAATCTTTAATGTCACCATGCATGATGTTCTGCACACTTCGATATGATGCAATGGATTCTTCCATGTACTCTTTGATGTTTTGCACACTTTGATATGATGTAATAGATTCTTCCATATAATCTTTAATATAATCTTTAATTTACCATGCATGATGTTCTGCACACTTTGATATGATGCAAAGCATGAAATGATGAATGCTTTAGTATCATGTATGTTATGGCCAAAGTAATATTGATTTATTTTTGGTATGATGCATGAAGTGATGAGTTATAATATTTTGACATTATGCATGTTATATTTTGAGTATTTGAAGCTATAATGATGCGCAATTTTGATATGACATATTATATTTGATCACTAAGATCGAAATAGTTTTATTTAAATTTGATTTCTTTTGAATTCAAGTTTGTTTTATCTCAATATGGCATATAGATAGGGGAGTTAAGGTTAACTCCGTTATCAATTAGTTGTCATCATCAAAAAAAGGAAAATTATTAAATCTCATATTTTGATGATGAAATCAATAGGTGAATTAATGATCTAATCCATATATTGAGATAAGTGATGCAAGACTAACTACAATCATGAGATAGGTAAAACGATTAAAGAAGAATCAAATGTTGGGATGGAGTCAATGATTGGGCATCGGGTCGAATGAATCAAGTTATACACCGAAAGATCGAACGATGCAGTGAAAGCTCACCAGAAGTTAGTGCCGAGTTTGTCGAAAGTTTGCTGAGAGTTCATCGAAAGCTTGTCGGAAGATCGTCAGAAGTTTATCGAGAGTTCGATTGAACAATTGACATACCGGATAAATTAGATTCCTTGTATCGTAATTGTTTTAGACTTAATTATCGTAGTTAGGGTTTCAATTTGAGTTAGTTTTACGAGAAATCCTACTAACTTAATTAGGAGTCATCTGGGCTTAAATTAGAACTGAATTGGGCCTTTTCTTTTGCCCATTCAGTAATTCTTAGCTAGTCCTAGGCGGTGGCACCACCTAAGGCTCAACCTCCCAAGTGGTTTGGGCGGTGGTACCGCCCAGACTTGGCGATGATACCACCAGCAATTAATGCTACAAGGTGATGAAACCGCCTTGTCAAGCGATGGTACCACCAGAGCCCAGTCTCCGAGACTCTATCAAGCAATGGTACCGCCTAGACTAGGCGATGGTAGCATCCAGTATTAATGTGTCAGGAGATGGTACCGCCCAATGTTAGGCTGGTAGGCGATGGTACTGCCAATTTCCCAAAAACCAAGGGATTTAAATTTTGGCTCCAAGTTTTAAAGTCATTTAGAGTCTATAAATACCCCACAAATTCTTGCTTAGAATACACATGACAATAGAGCAAAACCTCTTTGATTCTAAGGTTGTAAACTCTTTTAAGTATAGAGTCTCTCCTCCAAGAGTTTAGCGATAGTCCTAAGTATAGAGTCCCTCCTCCACCGACAGTTAATGCTACTAGGTTGTAAACTCTTTTAAGTATAGAGTCCCTCCTCCACCAGCAGTTAATGCTACTAGGCAATGGAACCGCCTTGTCAAGCGATGGTACTATTAGAGCTCGGTCTCCGAGACTCTATCAAGCAATGGTACCGCCTAGACTGGGCGATGGTACCATCCAGTATTAGTGTGTCAGGTGATGGTATCGCCCAGTGTTAGACTGGTAGGCGGTGGTACTGCTAGTACCCCAAAAACCTAGGGATTTGAATTTTGGCTCCAAGTTTTAAAGCTATTTAGGGTCTATAAATACCCCACAAATTTCTGCTTGGAATACA